GGGCAGGCGCGCCACCGGGCACGTTGGTAGGGGCGTGCCGCCTCCTGGCGCTCCAGGACCGGGGTCCCTGGGGTGCCACGGCCTCCGAAGGCTCTACAAGGGCGGACACAGGAGGTGGGGTTGGATCTAAAGCTGCTGCCACCTCTGGAATAACCCGCAGTCCAGGCGGAGGACAGGGTGCCGGCCCCCCACTCCCCCCAATTAGACCCTAGTTGGCGCACCCTAAAGGTGCCTAGCTCAGTCCTGTTGGTTTCGCCTAGCCAGGAAAGATGGCAAGTCCTCTGATGAAGGGGAAAGAAAAAGTCCACCCAGGGAGCAGAAAGCCTCAACTCTCCCGGGAACACAGGGTTTGAACCACAGGACTTGTCCAGCAGCGAGGGGCTACTCTTCTGTCTAGCTGAATTTGGGGAGATGAATTGACATTGCCACAGACTGATTTATTTTTCATGATCGTTCTTGTGGTTTACTGAGAAATATATATTCCTGTGGGAAATTGAGCGAAATAATAATAAAGGTCATTTTATGCCCTAATTGTTTGGATTTCTTCAAAACAAGATGCAGAAGTCCCTAGGGCAAGCACCATAAAGGGCAAAATATGAAAAGGGATCTGGGAGTATAAAGACTTATTTGAAAGAAAACCGTGTGCCTGTGGAGCCAGGATGAAAGTGAAGTAGGCACATAACATGACAGTAAGTTTAAAGCAGGATCACATTTAATCGGAGATTAAAGCCAAAGCCATTTACATACTTAGAACAAAGGTTCTAAAGCCCAGATCTCTATTTCCTCTCAACTCACTCTAAATACTATTTAACTATTGGTGTAGGGATTTCACCAATAAAGGTATGTCATGTTAGGAGATAGAAATAGGAATCTGCCTTTAGAACCACCCTGAAGTTCTCTTTTTGTAGCTCCAGCCCATGTGTAAAATCATCAGCTCTACTTTCAGAATAGTTCCCAGATTTTCCTGGGTTCTACCCTGGTCCACGCCACCAGCACCTCACATAGACTGCTTGCTGCAAGCCTCCTGCATGCCCTTTCCTCTCAATAAAGCAAGGACAGTAATCCTTTTAAATGAGGGACCTCACACCACTCACTCTCAAACCTAGTTTAATGGCTTCTCTTGGAGTAAAAGCAAATCCTTAGAAGGACCACAACACCATAGCCCATTTCTCTGACCTCGTCTATTACTCAACCAGCTCATGCGGCTTCAGCCATACTAGCATTCTTCCTGTCCTTGAATTTGCTAAACGCACTTCTGGGCCATGTCACTGGCTGTTCTCGCCACCATTTGCATGGCTAATTCCTCAACTTCTTTTGTTTAAGTATATAATCATCGAGATAAAAAATTAGCAAGATCCATGGCCCCCCATCTTCTGAACTACTGGTCAGTCCGGTCTCTTTATTTTCAAACATTATACTTCTCATCAGATATACTTTACTTGCTTATTATGTAATACCTCACCCCACCTCCTTCCTCCCAAAGTTGTGCTCCTTTGCTTTGCTCACTGGTGCACCCCAAGTACACTAAATAGCTGCTGGTACTGGGTAGGTGTTCAGTACTTTTGATGGAATGAAAATCATCTTCGTCACTGTCAGAAACATTTACTTTTGGTAATTCAATAATCCATGAGTCTCTAATGCCATCCAATTGACTACATCTGTGTCTAAAATAAATTCAATTATGACATAACTTTCTAATGACTTTTAATTGCTTTACAGGTAAAAATACAATGGTCACAATTTTTTAATTAAAACATGAAACAATCCAATTGCCACTTCTTAAGGTCATGATGAAACATCTTTCTCTTCATTTCTAAAGTTTCAGGTGCTCTCTATCATACACCACAGAAGCTTTCTAATAGGGTATCAGTGACATCACACCGGGTGTGGACCTCTGGCCCCACCTGTTGAGCTTCTTCTTGTTCCTACTTAGAAAGCTCCTGTTGGTGTCTCTCAGGTGTCTTCAAGGTCCAGCTTAAAGACGCCTCCCCCAAAGCACTGCCGGACTGTGTGAACCTACAAACTGAAAGTATAATGTGGTCATTTTGGAGTGACGACAGATACATTCTGAAGCTGTGGTGTCTTCTTTAAAATCAAGCTGGAAGGAATCCAACTGAAATCTGAAGATGGAAAAAAATAATAATTTGATGTTCAATGTGGACCTAAAACAACAAAAAACAGCATAATCTCCCTTCACAATAAAATATCCAGTGTTGCAGAGAAAGAATAAAAATATAGCCATAGTATTTTGTTTCTTTTTGGTTACAAAGGTTTTTTGATAAAAATGTCTTTCGGTTTGGCAAGTAAATGAGTCACTTTTTAAGGATGCCATTTTTTATCAAACAGCATGAAACATATACAAAGACAGTATGACAAACTTTTTCTTAGTTTTCTACTGATGTAATGATTTTTACTATACATAATGGGGCCTCAACCCTAAAAAATTAAGTTTGTAATCCAAATGTAGGAAATTGAGAGTTCAATGAGTAAGATAAACATACTTAGGTAAGAATTTCTTTTAACAGTTAAGGAAAAATATTCCTGAGTAGATCTTACATTATTTTTTGGAGAATAATATGTTTATACAAATATAATAAAGGACTAAGATTATTAAAAATAAATTTAATTTTATGCAAGTATTTTAGCATCATTCCCATTTGACAATATAGATCACAAAAGTCATATACAAGTCTTTTCAGGTACAAGTAATGGAGGATTATTTTTAGTTGTTTTAAGAAAAATTAGGGTATTTTTCTTTAATTCTAGCAATGTAAGCCCTATTAAAGCAGGAATATACATTTGAGCAAAACCCGTAAGGTACGTTACTGGTAAAAATGTTAACCTATTTTCATGTTCAGTTTCTGTTACGCTGGTCTAATAATTATAAACAAAGACCTCAAAGGTATTATTTATGAATGCAACATGAGATTTACAGAAAAACTGAGCAGCTTTGTTTACATTCATTTCCACTCCTAAAAAATAAATGGGAGTCGCTTGTACGGCACAAGTAAAGGAGCACGTAACACATGAGAGTCGTGAACAGCCGCCAAGTGCTTTTCCAATGAAAAAACCCCCTTGTATCCTAAGCATATGCATTCAGAGTTAACTGGGAAACTGTAATACACTTATTAGAATATATGACATATCTGTATCCATATATATTCTAATCCTTCTAAATATCTTTGCATAATAGCACAAAAACACAAAGAATCAGATCTTGAACACTTGAATGCAAAAGTATGTTTTCAAATATATTTATGCTAGTAGATTTTGGGTCTTCTTTATAAAACAAACTCAAGAACTCATCCTGAGAATCTCTTCAGGGCCACTTGATGTTGTATGGTAGCATCTTTAACTACATTTCCTCAAGACTTCTTCTAATAGCTTCTTCTAATTCCACATCTGCATTAAAAAATATACAGAATTTTAACCTTTAGGGCAGAAAACTAATAAACATGCTTTATTTAAATTTTATCAGCCATATTTATCTTTTTTAATAAGAAACATCAAAATAGAAAAGCTGGAAAACTTAAGTTTCTCTGCCATAAAATGTGAGCATTATGAAATGTTAAGAATCTGGATACGATCTCAAACTGAAATTTAAAATATATGACAAAATATACTAAGGAACTTACAAGTTATTTCCATTTAGGGATGTAAAAAGTCAATCAGTTGGCAAGTAATCACTTATTTCAACATTAAAAAGAAAAATCCATGTCACTTACTTACAAAAAGACTTGAGGTGATGCGTATGTTTTAAAATAGAAACAGAAAAGCACAATCATAAGGTGGCAAATTCTCACAGGCTTTTAAAAATTTAGCTTTAAACTTTCTAACATCTAAGACAATAAATCTCATGTAAACCTCTCAGGAACAGAAATGGGAGTAATGATTATCAGGAGGGTAGTGGGAAGGTGGGGGGAGGAGTGGGGAAGGGGGAACCAATTGCAATGATGTACGCATTCCCCCTGACACCCCCCTCACCACCTAGGGTGATAAACAACAGAAACTTGGGTGAAGGGGAGAGCAGTCAATGTAAGATATGAAAACAACAATAATTTATAATTTATCAAGGCGTCACGAGAGTGGGAGGTGGGAAGAGAGGGAAAAAAGAGGAGCTGATACCAAGGCCTCAAATAGAAAGTAAATGTTTAGAAAATGATGATGGCAACATATGTACAAATATGTTTGCTATAACTGATGTATGGAGTGTTATAAGAGCTGTAGGAGCATCCAGTAGAATGATTAATAAAACCCAGCTATTCAAGGCTACATAATGGTTATCTTTGAAAAATGTAACATAGATGTGTGTTCATTTGGTAAATACTTATTAAATGTCCACTACATCAAGTACAGGGAGAGAACAGTAAACAAGCCAGACATTCTTGAGTTCTCCATCTCCTCCCTGGGAATGATGCTAAGGCCCAGGAGGGCGGAATTCGATATCCATTTCTTGGTCTTCACTGATTTGTCACACAGATCTCGCTCCTCCCAGTGTTCCTCAGTCCCACAGGATGCCTCTCAGAGCCTACTTGATTCATAGGCATAAGTGATTCTTCTAAGACACAGTTGCATCATCCTCGGAGTCAGGGCAGTGGTGTTAAATTGTTCAGTTACAATACTGGAAGGTTGTGTACAGCGGTGAAGTTTAAGCTACACCCTAGGTCAGTGAGCTGTCCTAAAATGAATTCATAGGGATGAAATAATGCACAGAAAAGCCGAAACACCCTTAGCAAAGAATAATGTGACAGGGCATGTAAGCTAGGAAAATTTATAGTCAATTATAATAATTTTTGAAAGAATGTTATGAGTGTAAGAGTAGCTAAACATAATAATAGAATACAATAAAGAGCTTGGAAATAGATCCACACATATATGGACATGTAATCTGACAAAGGTGGCAGGGAAATGATGGTCTTTTTCTTAAGTCATGGTGGGTCAATTACAGAAATTTTTACTCTTATCTGGCACTACCCCCACACATGCACACAAAATCCCAGAGTTCTAATATGCTAAATATGAAAGGAAAATACAATGCTTGTAGAAGATAATTTAATATTTTCAAGCCCTTAGAGAAGGACTTAAATATGATCCCCCCACCCCCACCCCAGGGTGTGCAACAGAGCAGCAAGGGGAGCAAAACTATGAAGTCCTCTGGGAATACCAAAAAGACTTTGGGGCCAGGGCATGACACCTCAGCAGACTCAACCAGAAAACACTCCCAAAGGTCAACAAACAGACCTGGAACTATTTATAGGCTTTTCTTTTGCTATGCGTTGTTTTTGTGCTTATTGTTTCTGCATGTCTATCTAGATAAAGATAGGAGGAGAAAACAACAGGATCGACAGTTCCAGGGAACACGGGAGAGAGGGACGCAGGGGAAAGGAAGTAGGTGTTAATAAACCCAGGGACAAGGGAACAAGTGTTCTAAAATTGATGGTGTGGAGGGTGTAGGATGCCTGGTAGGGCTTGATCAAGGGCAATGTAACCGAGAGGAATTACTGAAACCGGAATGAAGGCTGAACATGATCGTGGGACAAGAGGAAAGTAAAAGTAGAGGAAAGAACTAGGAGGCAAAGATCATTTATAGAGGTCTAAATACAGGCATGTACATATGTAAATATATTTATATATTTAACGATAGGTAAATAGATCTATGTACATATATTTATATGTCAAGTATTAAGGTAGCAGATGGACATTGAGCCTCTCTACTCAAGTACTCCCTCAATGCAAGAACACTCTATTCTAATAACCTGGCATTCCGTGATGCTCAACTTCTCGACACGTTCGCTAAAGACAAAATGGGTGCATAGCAAATATGGTGAAGAAAGCTGACGGTGCCCAACTATCAAAAGATACAGCATCTGAGGTCTTAAAGGTCTTAAAAGCAGCCATCTAGCTGAGAAGCAACAAAGCCCACCTGGAAGAAGCACACCAGTCTGTGTGATCATGAAGTGCCGATGAGATCAGGTATTGGGGTTCAAAGACCCAAAACCAAAAAATCATAACAATGTGAATGAGTGGGAGTACGGAGTGGAGCCCCAAAGTCCATCTGTAGACAATTGGACATCCCCATAAGAAAGGTCACAAGGAAGAGATGAGCCAGTCAAGGTGCATTATAGCACTGATGAAACATACAACTTTTCTCTAGGTCTTTAATGCTTCCTCCCCCTATCATGACCCCAATTCTACTTTATAAATCCGGCTAGACCAGAGGATGTACACTAGTACAGATAGGAACTGGAAACACAGAGAATCCAGGTCAGATAAACCCTGCAGGACCAATATTGCGAGTAGCGATACCAGGAAGGTAAGGGGAAGGTGGGGGTTGAAAGAGGGAACCAACCACAATGATGTACATATAACCCCCTCCCAGGGGGACAGATAACAGAAAAGTGGGTGAATGGATACATCGGTCAGTGTAAGACATGAAAAAATAATAATTTATAAATTATTAAGGGTTCATGAGTAAGAGAAGGGAAAAGAGGAGGAGCTGATACCAACAGCTCAAGTAGAAAGAAAATGTTTTGAAAATGATGATGGCAACAAATGTACAAATGTGCTTGATACAACTGATGTGTGGATTGTGAAAGAGCTGTATGAGCCCCTAATAAAATGATTAAAAAAAAAAAAAAAAGACTCAAAAGAGCATATGGAAACTAAGGAACATGAACTTTATATGTTTCATCAAACACATTTAAAAAAGACTATTTAATAAACATAATACCAAGTCATAGGGTGGGAGAAAATATTCATAATACATGGAACTTATGTTCAAAAAGAAAGCATGTAGTTCCTAGCTGGAATAATCAGATAGGAAAAATATAATCAAATGTAAATGCCATGAAATATATAAATACCTTTATAAACAGCCAGAAAGTAGTATCAGTACATACTCATAAGACAAGTTAAAATAAAAAATAAAACACTGAATACCCTTAATAATTGTTGAGGCTATATACAGATCAATGGGAACTCATAAACACTACTGGCAAGAATGTGTCTTGGAAAAAGTTCGAATCAGCAACTCAAGTTGAACACAATTCAACTCAGTATACAATGGGGTTCAAAAACTTTGTGGAATTAAAAGACAATGGATTTTTTTCCAATAGATTTT